ATAATAATAATAATAATAATAATAATAATAATAATAATAATAATAATAATAATAATAATAATAATATGTGTGAGTTCTTGAGTAATGATCATGTGTTTTGTGTGGTCATAATGAATTTGAGGTTTAACCACTGATTCTAACTTGCCAGCCAAACACATGAACTTCTTGCAATTCAGGAAAAATGAGCTTAGAATATTCTACACCGTTATCAGTTTTTCTCAGTTTTTCTCACACCTGGAAGTAATGTTTTTCAGATGCATTCTCAGTGTTGGAAATACTCCTTGTAGTTTAGGCAAGGTAGCTGCATGGATATATTGCGGAGGAGATAACAGGCATGACTCACAAGCAGTGAATAAACCAGAATGTTAGCTGCTCGCTACTCAGTTTGACCGTAGCTTTAATCTGACATCATACAGACTTTCATTATTGCATATGCTGTCTTCAGAAATGTGTTGAAAAATTCAAAATTCAGGGCTCTGTGAAAGTAGCTTAATCATATATTTTTTGACAAAATTAAAGAAATCCCCTCAAGGCAATTTTGAGGTGTCGACAGAATGGAGTAATGGAAAACTAATAATTATTGTGCCCTGGGCAGAGATGTAAAAACGTCAAAGGGAAATTAGATTGCCTACTGTGCATTTTCTCAGAGAAAAAGATAGATTTACTTCCTGATGTTACATGAGTGAAGACAGGCGCCAGGCTAAACACAATCTGTGTACCTGAAACTATCTGAGATTAAAGAAGAATGCAACAAAACTGCCAAAAACAAAGATCATGAACACTACTCTCAGTTCTGACCCAGAACAATAACAGAGGCAAAAATGGTTTAAGCCTGCACCAGAGAACTGCAACCATGTTTGCAAGTGTTAAACAGCCTTCAGATTTAAAGTAGTATGCTGAAGTTGACTTTAAAATGAGATTGTTGCAGTCTGTTCCAACCATACTTCTTCATTTAAAGTGTTGGTGTTTCACAATAGATTATGATTCCTGTGCAGAGTACTTTCACTTTTTCACAATTCAGCTCTCTTGAAGATACAAATAGATATTAAGAGTTTATTGGGGTATTAGATAACGTCTTCCTGTAAGCCAATTCAGCAACTTTTACTATGATGACTTTCTAATAAACAATAAATACATGCATCAGTCAACAAAGTAGTAACTGCTATAAAACATTTTTTAATAAATAATACCGTCATTAATGTACCATTCACGTATGGGTGCAGAAGCATTACCGGTACTTTAGGATGGAAAGCAACTAAGCAGATTTAATGAAGTCCAAAAGAAATTTTTTCCATTTTTTTATTATTATGTTTTCCTACGGTCTATTTCATTCTCATGAGCCTGATATTTCATCTAACCCACGACAGAATTTCTTTAAATATGTGAGAAATTAAATCGAGGATGAACTGGTTTGAATTCGGTGGTAATAGATGAAGGTTTCTGTGACCACCATGAAACACATTTCCATGCTACGTGCAGCATGGTAGTGTAGTAGTTAGCACTGTTGCCCAAACGCAAGAAGGTCCTGAGTTCAAATCTACTAACAGTCTGGGGTTTTTCTGTGTGGAATTTCCATGTTCTCTCCAGGAACTTGTTTCCACAGTTAGTGTGAGTTAAATTCTAAATTGACTCCAGATATGAACGTGTGCAATGGTGGCACTTAGTACTCTTGCCCTGTGGGATTGGTTCAAGCTACGCGCTGCTAGTTATGTCAAAATTCCACACAAATGTCTAATAGGATAAAGTGACTAGCTTTAATCCCAAAGGCAAATTTAATTGTGACATAATGATTTGAGAAGGACAGACTGATCATATTTCTAATTTCGCTGGATGTATGGCCCTTCCCAAAGCCTCAGCGTCACTTCTGTCTAAAATTTGCCTAAAAGCAGAGTCCATGCCAACAAACCAACTAATTTAAATCAACTCTACCAATTATTCCAAGAAGAATAGTCAAATATCAAGCGAGTGTTATAAAAGAAGCTTGTTGATGGGTGCCAAATGTGTCAGAGTCCATGTGTAACTTACTAAGGAACATTTAACCCAGTATTAGTATACTTTTCATCCTGTGTGGATTAGAGAAAATCCAAAATAAATTCAAAACCTTTTCACCCAGTTCTTGTTTTCTAAAGTCACTAAAGTTGTATTATGTACAGTCTTTCCACTCTCATAAAAGAAGAGTTCAATTAAGTTATTAAAACCTAAAAATCACTATAAAATTCATGCCCATGATGACTGTCTGAAAACTTCTGACCACGACTGTATATGAGTCCAGACCAATATGGATGTAAACTGTAATTTGATTGATTAGTCTGTAAGCTCACTGAGAGGAGTTAAAGTTTTGTAATATAAATAAGATGCATATTTTAATAATCTAAGAAAAGCTAGTCTTTCTCATTTGTGCTTGAAATTTCTTTCCTGGAGATCAGCAATGCAACAATAAAGAAAAGTCAAAGTCAAAGCAGTAAAGTGGTCGGAGCACTTTTACATCGAAGCATTGCTCAGTAGAATGCTTCTGCTACACCGGTTTTTGGCAAGCTACTGTACCAGTTGCCAGGACAGGTACTTGAAAGAAAAACAGAGACTTTTCACCTTGCTACAATCAGGAACTCCCCTGCAGTCATACCATGAATACCTTTTATGCATAGACAGTGGCTACAGAACTGTACTAGTCCAGAAAACCAAACTCTCGTAATAGATCAGGTGGCTCAACACCTTTCCTCCTGTTCTTCCTGCATGCTGACATGGGTATAAAGATTGATTGACACATGGTACAATGCTGTATGTGCTAGGAGGCTAAAAAAGGTCTGAACCTGCTCAGGTTTGTGAAACACGATACTCAGACGTTTATAAGTGAGATGAGTGATGTTCAGTTACCCACGTTTTCCCACCACTACACTTCTCATGCTGCCATCACTATTCATTCATTTTTACATACTTTAACCATCAATGCACAATAATGAATTTGCTTTGGGCTATGCACTGTCTAGATAACCCTGCACAGCAGACCGCTTTTTCACACCTGATATTTTTGG